AAAGTATTTATCATTCTAGTCATCTTTGAGCGGTAAAATCTGGTTGGTTGTGTTCCAAATTTTAAATTAGTTTTAAATGCATCTCTTTTTTATCTAGTTTTGAGCCGGAGGGTAGAATTCCATTCCTGGAGGAGGAATACCAGCCAACCTTTTACCAAACTCAGAAGCGTGCTCCAATGAGGTTTGGGAAGCGTGACTCCAGTGAGCTCCTGGAGGAAGACGACTTCGACGTGGAAAAGAGGGCTCCAATGAGATTTGGATAGATGAATAAACCTGGGCGCGTGGAGCTTTACATTTTCTCCCGGAAATGTGACCATTATCTTGATTATATGTACAATGTACAAAAATACATAAAACCATATTTTAAAGTTTTGTAATTGTATACATATGTATCTAGTTGTAAAAACATTGAATATTGGTTATTCAATGAATAAGAGAATGTGATCTACAATATATAAACGAAAATTTGGACAATATCATAAAACCCTCAAAAGAGAAATATATATATGAAGCCCGCAGATGTTCTCAGAATCTCCTCAGAATTTCCAATCTTTGTGATTTACAAGATTCAAAGGCAAGTCTATGGTGTTACATACAATTAGACCCATAAAACTGTGGAATAGAAAGACAACTTTCAGGCTCAAATTACCATTTAAGACTAAAAATATCAAATACATACACAAGATTGTTGTCTTCTTAAAGGGGCTGTAAAGGAAAAATGAAAGGGGGTATAGGCTGAAAGCCAATCACTTTAGCTCTTGATGTTCCTGTCTCGAGAAATTGATTTAAAACTGTGTTAATATTTTTATGCGAAATTTCATATATGTAAAATTTAGAAAATCTTATACTTAAATCACGTGACCAGAACTATCACCAATGGCAAAGCAGTATACTGATCACCTGTCTCCACCTGTATCACGTGACCACTTTACTGCACTGTCATTGGTGGAACTTCTGGTCAAGTAATACGGAAGTATAAATAATATTATGAATTAAATCTATTAAAAATAGATATAACAAATATAAAATTAGCATTGGAGTAAACATAAGTTACAATTAGCTTTCTCTGGGATATCATAGTTTTCAGATTGGTTGCATATTTGCTGAATTTGATCTATTTAAACCCTCTACTTTTATACAAAATTGTATATATTTTAATTTTCGTATAAATTAGACACAGTTGTATATCAATATCTCGAGATAGGAACATCAGATATAACTTTCATGGGTCGCGATCGAGAGCTAAAGTGATTAGCTTTCAGCCTATACCCCCTTTCATTTTTTCCTTTACAGTCCCTTTAATCTCTTAAAAACAGGGTATTTTTGACAGATAGACTTCAGTGGAAATAGGGTTAAGATAACGTTCCAAAATATTTTTTCAATATTTTTGGCCACATTTTAAAGTTTTTAAACCTATAATCCGAAGCAAAAAATTTAAGGTTTTGTTCAAAACTTCACTAATTCCTGTAAAAGAATTGAGTTTTTGCCACAAACTCTGAGTTTCAAATCTCTATATTTTTGCAACCCATTGTCGTAGATCTTAGTTATTTCAAACTATGAATTCTGTTAGATCAAATGATGTAAGTTTGAAATATCAAAGGTATACATACACCATCGGATTGATAAGATATAGGGATTAGAAGATTTGAGTTTGTGGCAAAGACTCATTTCCTTTATTCTTTTTTTTACCATTTCTTGTCAAAGGCTAGGTTTATGTAATTTCTCTTAAATGTACATATAAAATTTTTGGATACTTTTAACATTTTACATATTCTCACTCGAGATATATTTTTATTCTTTTTTCTAAATGATATTTGCTTATGATTGCTATGATGGTCCCGACTTTAAAGAAAGATGGAACTGTAGTAAAATTTGACAATAGAGAAATAGGAAAATTATTCAAAAGTATGAAACAGTGAAACTTTATGTAAAAATTCAGAACTTGAAATAGGAAATAGGAATAAATAATCTAAAGGAATTGAGAATTTGTCTAAACAAAAAATAGGAAATAGGATTAAATAAACTAGAGGAATTGGGAATTTGTCTAAACAAAAATAGGAAATCAAAGTACTCAAAACATAGAACCAGGAAATGAGAAATGAACATAAACAAGAAATATAAGATGATAACTAAACAAGAATCAAGAAATATAAGATAAACTAAAACCATGAAATTAGAAAAGAACATATACAAGAACCAGGAAATAAGAAAAGAGCATAAAATAGAACCAATAGAAAAGAAAATAACAAAAACTAGAACTAGAAAATAAGAAAAGAACATAAAATAGAACCAGGAAATAAGGAAAGAACATAAACAAGAACCACTAAATAAGAAAAGAACATAAACTAGAACTAGAAGATAAGAAAAGAACATAAAATAGAACCAGGAAATAAGGAAAGAACATAAACAAGAACCAGGAAATAAGAAAAGAACATAAAATAGAATCAGGAAATAAGAAACGAACATATACTAGAATCAAGAAATAAGAAAAGAACATAAACTAGAACCAGGAAATAAGAAAAGAACATAACTAGAACCAGAAAATAAGAAAAGAACATAAACTAGAACCAGGAAATAAGAAAAGAACATAAACTAGAACCAGAAAATATAAAAGAACATAAACTAGAACCAGAAAATAAGAAAAGAACATAAACTAGAACCAGAAAATAAGAAAAGAACATAAACTAGAATCAGGAAATAAGAAACGAACATATACTAGAATCAAGAAATAAGAAAAGAACATAAACTAGAACCAAGAAATAAGAGAAGAACATAAACTAGAACCAGAAAATAAGAAAAGAACATAAACTAGAACCAGGAAATAAGAAAAGAACATAAACTAGAACCTGGAAATAAAAAAGAACATAAGCTAGAACCGGGAAATAAAAAAAGAACATAAACTAGAACCAGGAAATAAAAAAAAGAACATAAACTGAAACCGGGAAATAAAAAAGAACATAAACTAGAACCAGGAAATAAGAGAAGAACATAAACTAGAACCGGGAAATAAAAAAGAACACAACTTTTAAAAAACTTTTAGCAATTTTTTTTGCGACACCAGTAATTTTATTTGGCATTCGAATGATAGCATTAACAGAAAGTTTATGAAAACATTAAAGAACCATTTTTAATTAGTTATACTTTTTATTTAAATCTATAATTATCATAAAATAATGCTTTTCTGGCAGTGAAACCGCTTTATATAGTATATACATGCAGTGAATGTACATATTTGAAGTGTAAAACTTGTTAAACACGTGTAGTAGACTGTAGAGGAATAGCTAAAACTATTGGAACATGTGTAATGGAATATTTATATTTATTTTATGTTGTTGTAACACGTGTAGTGTAATATATACAACTATATTGTTGTAACACGTGTAGTGGAATATGTGGAACTAAGTAGTTGGAACACGTGTAGTGGAATATATACAACTATGTAGTTGGAACACGTGTAGTGGAATATATACAACTATGTAGTTGGAACACGTGTAGTGGAATATATACAACTATGTAGTTGGAACACATGTAGTGGAATATATACATATAGTTGAAAAACGTGTACTGGAATATATACAACTATGTAGTTGGAACACGTGTACTGGAATATTTACAAATATGTAGCTGGAACACGTGTAGTGGAATTTATACATATAGTTGTAACACGTGTAGTGGAATATTTACAACTATGTAGTTGGAACATGTGTAGTGGAATATANTTGTTGAGTGCAATTTGATTTTTTATTTGATTTTCCAGATGCTGTCGAATTCCTTTTCCTGAAATTGAAGAATTCATTAATATTATTATATTATTATCAGTTTGATTTAAAATTGATGATTATTTCAAGTGACATTATGTTAAAACAGTTGCAGCCCTTCAAAGTGTACCGTTGTAGATTGGGCAATGAGTATGCATTGTTGACAGTCCCTTTAAGATAAAAAGTTACTAACGTCGTTAAATCCTCGTCTGTCGTTACTCCGTTATACTCCTCAGTTCCTCTCTCAACTCGTCTTGATATTAACTCTGGACTATCCATAACCTTGGAACCTGATCCGTCCTGCCCAACCATTGGATAGAAAATATCCTCTTTCAAACTAATCCGTCCTGATTTAGGGGTTGTTGTATGGTCTAGAAAGTCCGTGCTTACTGTGGTGGAGTTAAGGTGCATGTTGTGAGTTCTCCCTCTTGAAGGGGGTCTGGACGAAGGTTTGATGGATTGCTGGGATAAGGACGGTTCTTTATTCTCATCCTCTTCCTCCCACCATTCACAATTATCAAACTCAGTTTGGAGTTTGATATAGTTTGCAGTTTGTTCCTGGAGCCTAGTCATCAGTTCGTCAATCTTGGTTTCCAACTCCGACTCCCGTTGGGTGTAGTACGCGATATTGTCGTTAATCTCTTGTTTTTTCTCTGTAAGTTTCAGGTTCAGACATCTTTCAATATCTTTCCATTTTTCTAGATCTTTCGCGTAGAGTTCCTGCTGCTGCAACATCTCAGTTCGGTAGATTTCCCGCAAACCTGGAGACAAAGGAGTTGAGTCCTTGCCACAAACTCTAATTTTCTAATCCTTTTATCTTTGCAACCCCGTTCAGATTACCTTAGATATGTCAACCTCTGATTCTGTTAGATCAAATAATCTTACAGAGTCAGATTGCAAAAATATTAGAAAATTTCCAGTTGTGGCAAAGACTCAATTCCTTTAAAGATGAATAAAATGTTAATCTAGGCGATATCTTTATGCAGAGAATTCTGTCCTGTACGTTGACCTTCAAACATGCTTTAAGATATAAATACACAGCAGAAAATATTGCTAGTCAGTAAGAAACTAAGGAAATCTATCTTGCAACCCAATGACGTAAGCCCTTAGATATTTACAGGTTTACACCATCTGGATGCAAAGATTTACTGATTAAAAAATTTGAGTTTGCGGCAAAGATTCAATTTCTTTGGTTAATTGCCTCAATTATATTTGTTAAGTTAGAAATTAAAGCTGCAGCTGCGGGAGGACTGTTTTTAATTTGCCGGTGTATAAATCGTTTCAGAAGTTCCATTCCTGTACTTCTGCATAATCAAACTTATTTTGACTTACTCATCAAATTTGGATCGTCGAGACATCATAAGCAGACATTGTTGAGTAATGGTTCTTATTAAAAAAGTCTTTGTGCTATAGGTGTAATTGATGTAAACATAGTCTATGGAAATGAATGCGGGGAAAAAGTCATTTAAAAAGTACTTTCACAATTTAAAAGTTTGGAACGGACTCAATCTGTTAAGCAAATAAACAGTTTTTATTTTCCTGGATTATACCTGTCATTCGTTCTAAGAACTCGGATTCAACTCCTTCCTTGATTTGACAAATTGTATCAGTTTTACCAGATAACAGGTTCGACATCTTGGATTCATATTCCTCTATCTTCTCAGCGTTCTCAGCTCTGGGAAAACAAAAATGTTTTTTCTTATGCTGTTTAAGAAATATAACCCCCCCCCCCGCTGCGTTAAAAGCGTAAACAGGAAATTAGAAACTCTCTCAGTCCATAAAAACCTGGCAACAGATCAATATCGTAATACGTAAAAACTTAAATTTAAGAAGGCTTAGAGCCTCCCCCCTTTTCCTCCATCCCAAAAATACGTGACCAAAATGTTGCTGACCCAGCAATGTCATGATCTAATCTAAAACGGAGCGGTAAAAAAAAAATAAAGAAAAAAAACAAGAACATAAAAAATCTAAGATTTTTTTCCTAAGTCTGTTGATTTTTCCCTCCATTTCATCTCTCATTGAATCATATTCTTCCTGATATTTCTCCACAACCTGATCATGTTTCCGTCCCATCTCCAGCATCTTCTGATCATTCTCCGCTCTAACCTTATTCACCTGAACCGCAATATCTGTTTCCAGGACCTTTTTCTCTCTGTCCCAGGACTGTTTTAATAATTTTATCTCTCTATCCTTCTGAGCAGTGATATCTTTAATAATAGTTTCTTTTTCAATCTTTGCAGCGTCAAGAGTTGATTTCATGTTTTGTGAAACATTTTTCTCCATATCTCGTCTTGCCTGTATACACATAGTCGTGAGATCTATATCCTTTTGTCGGTTCATTTCTCTCTCCTTCTCTCCTATTCTTAATTCTAAAGATTCTTCTAATGTTTTTATAGTTTGTCTGTGGGCTCGTTCTAGTTCTCGAAGTTTCCATTCGAAATCCTCCATCATTTTCTGCTCTAACTCTATTGCAATATTTCTCTCTTGTTCAATCTCCTTCTCACAAGCAGCCAGGATCTGCTCTCGTTCAACGATAGCTTCCTCAAGAGCAGTTTCAAGATCTTTCACGAGGTTTGAATCACTTTGATTCTCCAGCTGTTTTTTAGTTAAAGATTCTATTTCTTTCTCTTTTTCTTTAATTTTATTTTTGCTCCAACTCAATTCTTTTTCAAGTCTGGACAATTCCTCGTGGGTTTTCCCTATATCCGCCTTTGTTTGTTCCACAGTCACGTTTAATTGGCTTATGTAGTTTTCTCTCTGTGCGACTGTTGTTTGTAAACACTGAACTTGTTCTTGCAGTTCAAGGTTTAAAAGTTGAACTGATTGAGTAGTTTCTTGGCTTTGAGCTAACTCTTCTTCTACCCTACTCAGTTTATCTCCATTCTCGGATATTTGTTGAAGAAGATGTTCAATTCTCTTCTCATGTCGGGGCTCCTCAGCTAACAAATCACACTTGATTTGTAAAACTTCAGCCTTTAAAGAGTTGAGTTCGTCCTCTCGACTCAGAGCTAGATCTCTGAAACTCTTTACCTCAGTTTCATACTCATACTTCATCTTTTCAAACCTTTCTTCATAGTTTATACTTAGCTCTTCTATCTTTCTCTTCTCATTATCCTCGTATTCAGATCTTAGTTCTCCTATTTTTATTCTTTCTCTCTCCGCGTACTCTAGTCTCAGTTCATCTAGTTTTCTTCTCTCCACGTCTCTGGAATCACTGGGATCGATTGAACCACTATAAAATTGGTCTTTAAGGTTTCCACTCATTTATAGAACCCCCCCCCCTTAATTCATATAATTTAAATGTTATGCTTAAAAACATATTAGATTGAACATTATTTTAAAGATGATTAATTTTAGTTAAAAAAATTGTCTAATTTTGGCGGCTTAATTATCTAACACAAGGCATTAGCTGTGTCTGGTCAAAATCCAAACTTACTTTCTGCTCTGGTCAACCTAAACAAAAAATGCATCTTTTTAATCATAATTTTGAAGAATAATTTGCTTTTAGATTGCTAAATCTTTTTTCAGGTTTTTTCTGTATTTCGTTCCAATATTAGGTTCCGGGAAATTAGGTATTGAAGGTTGAAAACTTAAAATAGGATTAAAATGAAAAAGAGATTCAATCAGATTTTGTAATTTCCGTGAATAATATTTTTCATAAATAATGTATTTCTAATTATTTGTTAACATTTTTTGTAAATTAACACAACTTATTATTTTCACCCATACTTAGAATTGCAATTTAATTTTTAGTTCCCTAATTTAACAATTTTTTTTCTCATTCAAGAATTCTTAAAAGAATGTATCCTACTTAAAGTACAGTTTGGAGTTTTCATTAATATACAATATAGATTCATACTGTCCTAGCTTACATATCTTGAGATTACTCCTCTCCTAATTTATACTATACTATGAGATTATCCATTCCATCTGCAAAGTATACCTTGATACTTCTAATATTTTCCACTGGGATATTATTCCTTTCTTACTTTTTAGTCTATGCCTGGAGGTTCAGTCTTCCCTCCCTCCCAGTCCCCCTTAATTTACTAGAAGACCCTTCCTTGTCTATATAAAAGTGTACCTGGAGTCTACTACAATGCTCTACAATGTATATACAGTGTACGTCGAGATTCCTTAACCTTAATCGTACTCTCCCATAAACATAGATTTAGCTTTTATCCGTCCTAATATCTTGTTTACCTGCAGATCTGATTTTTCCAACATTGCTGCTTCACTCTTTATCTAAACAATTCAAGGATTCAATCTAATTTACAAATGTCAACTTCAACAGTTTTGATATTAATGTATTAGACATCATGTGATTTTATTTTTTATTGTTTTAAAACTTAAAATAAGTATATAATATATGTAAATAAAATCCTAATGTTAAAAATTATCAGAAAATGGAGAAAAATATGGTACGCAGAAACACTTTATGCGATGAAATTGATAAACTTGATAAATTCCGTTGCAAATCCTTCCGTTGGAAAGAAAACGTAAATACTTCAAATATTTGAAATGTTAAATTCTAAACGCTATTTTAAAAATCCACTGATAGCGAAAACAAAGTATTTATAAATGTTGTGTATATTTAAGTATTTGGAATTTAAAACTCATATCACCTTTTTTGTGTGATTTTCTTCAATATTCTTCAGTTTCAGTTCATACTGCCTCAGTTGGTTAGTCGCGTTCCGGAGTTCTTTTTTTAGTTCTAGCTCTTGGGTTTCAATATTCTTTTCTCCAGGTCTCTCCTGAATACAGAGATTGAAAATTCATGTTTACCTTCCTTCATCCATACTGTCCCATGACAATATCCTTTCTTAATACATGCCAACACTGATGGCAAAGTGATGAATTATATTTGTATATTATTATTCTACAGTTCACCCTAATGCATTTTCTATGTACATATATTGTATTCACGATTGTAAGAATAGAAGTTAATTCTCTCCTACAACATTGTGTATGTGCTATGTTCATGTATATGTACTATATACATTGTGTATGTACTATTTTTTAGCAGGGTTTTTTATAGTACTAATGCAGATACTAAATAGAACTAGCATAGGATACTGAGTAGGACTAGGATAGGATACTGAGTAGAACTAGGATAGGATACTGAGTAGAACTAGAACAGAGACAGATATGAACCATGTAAAAAGGAGAAGTTTAAAAAGTAAATTTAAGTAACCTCTAGAGATTGTCTCACCTTTTTTAACCTTTCAATTTTAAGTTCTAGATCATCATTTTTCGTGTTCAATGAGTATATAACCTAAAATATATGCAAAATAAAGTTATCTGGGTTTCTGCTCTTTGATGATTTTTAAGTTATAAAATTTAGTTTGAGAAAAAACAGAAAATCTAAAAAGTTACATTTTTTGAAGATTCTTTGTGTAAATACCTAACTCTTTACCTTTGTTAACTGAGCAATCTTTTTGTTTAGTTTGTAAACCATCTCGTCAGAGAGTAAAACCATCCCGGGTTTAACATCAGGTTTCCGTCCTGCTTCTAAACCAGGATCTAAAATTGCTCCCTCTGCCATTATAATGTGTACAGATGTATTTCAAATCACTGAATCTCCGGGTATACTCTGAGAACTGGAGAGAAAGCTCCAGGTTCGTGTGTAGCTGCTTAAAATAGATGTATGAGTGCGTCCCACTATGTAAACGCATAATATAACATAAAGGTTTTACATTTAACAGAATATTGAAAAATAAAGTTACCGGTAACATAGAAAAAGAAAGAGTAAGAAAGATACTATACAAGTTTCCAAGGTATAAACACTATAGAAGATTAGAGTTGAAGAAGTGAAAGAGGAAAAGAGACTAGATGGGAAGATAATAAAGAAGAGGCAGCATAGGAAATAAATAAGATTAGAGGGAGTAAAAGAGAGGATGAGAGGGGAAAAAGAAGAAGAGTTTAGGGATTAATTGAGAAGGAGGTGAAGGAGTATAGAATAAAAGGAGAGGGAGTGTAACGAAAAAGAGGAGAGGGGGTAAATAAGTAGAGGAGAGAGAGTAAAGGAGAAGAGAAAAGGAATTGAAGGAGATGCGGAGTGGGAGTAAAGGAGAAGAGGAGAGGGAGTAAAGGAGAAAAGGAGAGGGAGTAAAGGAGAAAAGTAAAGGGAGTATAAGAGAATAGGAAAGGGAGTATAAGAGAAGAGGAAAGGGAGTATAAGAAGATTGGAAAGGAAGTATAAGAGAATAGGAAAGGAAGTATAAGAGAATAGGAAAGGGAGTATAAGAGAATAGGAAAGGAAGTATATGAGAATATAAAAGGAAGTATAAGAGAATTGGAAAGGAAGTATAAGAGAATAGGAAAGCGAGTATAAAACAATAGTAATGGAAGTATAAGAGAATAGGAAAGGGAGCATAAGACAATAGTAATGGAAGTTTATGAGAATAGGAAAGGAAGTATATGAGAATAGGAAATGAAGTATAAGAGAACAGAAAAGGAAGTACAAGAGAATAGGAAAGAGTGGCAGAGAATAGATTAAAAGAGAGAAAAGGAGAAAAGGAGAAGATAGAAAAATATACAATGGATCGAGAAGACTAATAATGTGTGGAGTTGATGAGAGATTTAAACAATAAGAAGAAAATATAGAAAAGAATATGATACAGTTAAACCCTAAATATTAAATACATCAAAAGAATTTATGAAATGACAATTGTTCAATTGGTTTTATACTATTTTAGGTAAATTTCATTATTTGTGAAAATAAATAAATAGCCCTGAATAAGGAAGAAGAGTTTTAAAGAGCTCAATATAATCATTTAAATAAAAAACTAAATATCTGCAACATTCCATTATCAAAAAGTAAAGAATACGACATTTGATAAATTATTTCGATGTATCTAATATTTAGGGTTTAACTGTAGGAAAACAAAAGTAAGCTAGAAGAAAAGAAAAATGAGCAAAAAAGAAGGATAAGATAGTGGAATATAAATGTTTTACACAATACATTTTTTTGCAGAGTTTATGATTTATTTTGAAAAATATTAAAATAAAGGAGAAACAAATTAATGCAAAAATATTGTTGGTAAATATGGAATAGTCATCTAAAGAAAAAAATTGGCAAAAATAGTATTTTAAAGAACACTTATTTTTTATCAAAAAATTGATTGAAATATATTTGTTCTATTTTTCCAAAGTTTCATAAAATCTATTCATAAAAGAAGAGTTGTTACGAAAATTCGCCAAAAAAAATCAGTACAAATCTGCACCAAAATTTGAGCAAATCTGACTAAGCTGTCAAAACGGAATTTTCTTATAACATTTTTGTTATTTGAAATGTAAATCATATCATTAAAGATTCGTTTCATTTTGTAATATTTAATGCAAATTTAATTGCACAAGTAAATTCTCGCAGAATTTGTCCGACAAAAATGTGTTAGTGCATACTACATAGCATCAAAATGGAAGATCTTACCTATATATATGTTTTGTACCAAGCTAAGCACATTTTATACTACTAGACTTCCAGGGCGCTTCGCGTCCATATTCTATTTCAATTTTGAAAATTTTCTCTTTGTATAAAATGTAAATCAAGAACAATAAAGAGGATTTAAAAAAAAACGTGAATTTCAAAATTGGAAATCGAATTTTGTTGGAGGATAATTTTAAAATTTGAATCATCCATAATCCCTCCCTGGGGTCATGTGAAGTACAGCAAAAAAATTGGGCCCAATCTGTTCAGCCGTTTTGAAGTTTAACGATCAGATCGGACATACAAACAAAGAAACGTCAGATCGGACATACAAACAAAGAAACGTCAGATCGGACATACAAACAAAGAAACGTCAGATCGGACATACAAACAAAGAAACGTCAGATCGGACATACAAACAAAGAAACACACTTCACCGCACTTCCCACCAAAATGAGAGAGAAACGTAAATGTCGGAACTTAATTTGCCACTGAAAAAAAGTTTATAATCTGTTAAAATGTTAAACGGAACTGAAATCTGAAATCTATTCGAATAGATCCAATAATTAAAGTTTGAAAGTTTAAAGGTTTACACCATCAGGTTCCAAAGATATAATAATTACACAATTAGAATTAGCGGCAAGACCTCCTTTATTTGAAAAAGATTGGAAAATGTTATTTTGTGATAATACAACTCAAATTTTTTTTACATTCCCAAACAGAAATATTTTGTGTGAGAAATATTCGAAGGTTACGATCCAAAACAGAGGAGTGAAATGTCGTATTCCAAGAAGAAAGTATTCCTTTAACCTTCTCTTTATATTTCAGCTTACCATTCACCATTCTTTTCTCTCTCTGTCTCTTCACCTGTAACGCAATAAATATTTAGTATATTTTTTAATCGGGAATTCTTATTAAATCAGGTTAAAATTAAGCTGGTTTTAGAACTAACATATTATTTACAAACCTTAACAATTATTTCCTCCGAAGCCCGGAGGCTCTCTCATCTGTCCTCAGCTCTCAACCTCAGAGTTTAGTACAGCCAAGACCATAGATGGTTCAGGGGGAAAATGCCGTAAAGTTTTTCCCAAAGGGGATTTTATCTCCAAGTATGGCGGTTTCTTGTCTAATTCTGGTTTCTATATCATCCCTTGTATCTGGATCAAGGCTAAATGGTAAATTATTATTTCATAAATATTTAAATAAAACTTTAAATGAGAAGCATATGTTACAAATGCCACATAAATCTATAAATAAATTCTTATTGTATAGATATATACCGTGAGCTGCAGGAGGAATCAGGTTTAAACGTTGATTATCCGAGTTATCAGTTCCCCTTCCAGAACTACCAGGAACAACCTCGTCAATATCAGCCCAGGAGGAATCCTAGTGGACCAAGACAAACTAAACATTCCTTCGTTCGACCCAATGTATTTAGCCAGGACGAGGATCTAGATGATATGGTTCTGGGTCTAACCGAACCTCAGCTCGGAGTTCAAGATTTTCCAGCTCCGGAGCCGGTTCAAGCTGTACGCTCAGGAAAGTTTCCCAAACTTAGTTTCAAGATGAAACAGTTTGGTGTGCACCCAGAGACGGAAGAGTACTACGCTAAGGACCCAGATTTTCTCGGGTTTCGGCTCCAAGAGAGAGAAGCAACCCAATCTCTAGTTGAACACGTCGATCATTCTGTGTTCGAAGGAGTTCCTGAGATAGAAATTGATACAGAGGTATATTATTTAAAAGAAACATTTTGGATGATTAAATTTACAAAGTATTGATTAGGATCCACAGAGTGAAGAGAAGAGAGCAAGGATGGGTGTTGCGTCCCGACTCCGATGGGATGGATACACTGAGGAGACAAAGGATGACGACTTTTTCTACACAGGTTAGATTCTTCAAGTTCTTTAGAATCTAATCCATAAATATTTATTCTTAAACTTAAATACTCTTTCAAGCTGATAATCAAAGATAAAATGATAAAATTCAATTTTCAAAATTGTTTTATTTAAAATTCTTGTCTACGTTAAAACATCCTTCAGTATTTGAAAATATGGTAAGTAAAATTAATCCCCTAAGCTGTTTTACTATTTATAAAGGAATAATTTTTCAAGTTTGAGATTTATTTTTGACTGCTATAATGTGTACACAGATATCAGTAAGGGGAAGATCATATAGAAAATATGATTGTTATGAACAGGAATATTTTTTGCAGTGAAAAACCTCTCATCGGTTAATCTTCATGCAAAATTAATTAAATCATTTAGTTGATCTAAAAGTTTTAAGTTTATTTTTTTATTTCTTTTTCTCGATAAGAGAAAAAGGAATTGAGTCTTTACAGAAATGAAAACTATCCAATCTCGTATCAAAAAGACATCAGAGTAAAATTTTCACTTATAGTTTTCATTGCTGGGGAACATAATAAGTGCAACCCTTTCATTTCAACAATGATATTTTTAGTATTTGTCGCCAGTTCAACTGCATTCGTTGTTCTTGGAGTAGCTGGAGCTGGATACTGCTACCAGAGGTAAATAGTGTTAGTTCTAGGAGTACCTGGAGTACAATTTTGCTACCGCGACCGGAGGTAAATATGTGTAGTTCTAGGAGTACCTGGAGTACAATACTTCTACCAGAGGTAAATATGTGTAGTTCTAGGTGTACCTGGAGTACAATACTCCTACCAGAGGTAATATGTGTAGTTCTAGGAGTACCTGGAGTACAATACTTCTAACAGAGGTAAATATGTGTAGTTCTAGGAGTACCTGGAGTACAATACTTCTACCAGAGGTAATATGTGTAGTTCTAGGTGTACCTGGAGTACAATACTTCTAACAGTATCTTTGCAATCTGATGTCGTAGACCTTTAAAATTTCAAACTATGAATTCTGTTAGATAGACTACTCAAAGTTGAAATATTATATATTATTACATTATAACAACATTTTAGTTTTTTTATCATAAAATGTTAGTTCCTTGCGAGTGTTTGATTCCTTTGCACCTAAAATGAATAGATCTACTAAGATTTGTAGATTAGACTTAATTAGATTAAGTTCTCTAAAAAACATTAAATCCATAAAAGAATATTTTTATTCATATTTTCTGGGTAAACAGAAAATCATTCATTCAGAAACACATCTTCAAGGAATCCTCTATTAGAATATAAAACGTTAATTATTTTGTTTCCCTTGCGAGGGTTTAGGTTTCATTATTATCCTATTCAATGATTTTCTTAGGCTACATTTTTATTATTTAAAGGAAATTAACCATTTTTTCGCATTTAAAATGAAAAATGTTGAACCTTGAAATAAAGAGAGGCAATTATGAAATTATCTCATATTTTTTTAAGGTTTCGAGCATAGATTTATTTAAAGAGTGGTTTGGAAGAAAACTTTTATTTCTCCGTAAAGAATCCAATTTGTTATTAAAACCTGAATAATGAATGAATGACAAATTACTTTGAATTAATGATAAGTTTTATGGAACAGGGAAACTCATTAAACATGAATCCATTTCACTTTATTTGTTGATTTTTACGCTCTTGATAAAAATATTTGCTTTTCCGTCATCTTAACATTTTTTAACAAGGCTATGTAAAACAATGTCTGGGATGGATAAAAAATATTTTAAAGAGAGTGTTCACGAAAAATGAAAGGGGGTATAGGCATACGGCGAAAAATAATCGCTTTTGATCGCTACTAATATTACTTCTATCTATTGAGTCTATAAGGAGAAAATTGTTAAAAACGACTTATACTGAAGAACGTAGCGTCCAGTATATTAAACAAATAACAAATATTATGAAATATTAACTATATACGAATGCTTCGAAAAATAATCGATGACTTTAGGTTACTACATCTGAATGATTTGTTTGAAATTAAATTGAGTAGTTATTTCTTTCCGAATTTGTATGGACGCTACATTCTTCAGTATAAGTCGTTTTTAACAATGTTTTCCTTACAGACTCAACAGATAAAAGTAAGATTAGTAGCGATCAAAAACGATTATTTTTCGCCGTAAGCCAATACCCCCTTTCAATTTTCGCAAGCACTCCCTTTAAATAAGAGTTCTCAGACTGTAACAGTAAACAACATAATAAATAACCAGCATAAAATATGTCAAGGTTATATATGTACACACTAACAAGAATATATACATAGATAAAAATTATATTGAAAGAATAATAAATAAAAGTGCCTTTTCTTGCTACTTTCATACTATCACTTTTGCGAAAGCATATTTTTCTTTTTTTATTTTAGAAATAAGTAACAAAATAAAATATCTTATGATTTAATTGGGAGATACCTTTACCGCCAAATATCAAGTTACTCTCGAAAAATTACTGCAAATATACAGGAATAAAATGGTATGCTTTTATATAGGCCTCTATGGAAGGTTTTTTAAATGGTCTTTTTTGCACCACAAGGAATTTAGAAGGTCACTAACAGGGCTCTCTAGAAAGCCTCTAGCAGGTCACTAAAAGGTCTTTATAGAGGGTCGCTAGAAGGTCTCTAGATGGTCGCTAGATGGTCGCTAGAAGGTATCTAGAAGGTCCCTAGAAGGTCACTAGAAGGTCGTTAGAAGTTCTCTAGAAGGTCGCTAGAATGTCGCTCGAAGGTCGCTAGAAGATCGCTAGAAGGTCGCTAGAAGGTCTCTAGAGGGTCGCTAGGCGGTCTCTAAAAAAATCGCTAGAAAGTCGCTAGACGGTCTCTAGAAGGTCTCTAGAAGGTCGCTAAAAGGTCGCTAGAGTCTATAAGGTCTTAGAAGATCGCGCAAAAAGGTCTCTAGAAAGTCGCTAGAATGTCTCAGAAAGACCCTTGAAGGTCAGTAAAAGGTCACAAGAAGGTCTCTCACTCTCCACTAAACCCTGCTATTTTTTCGGTCAGAGTATAACAAATCAATCTTATGATCCTACTTAATAGATAGATCTCTAGAAGGTCTCTAAAAGGTATCTTACGGTCCTACTTAATAGATAGATCTCTAGAAGGTCTCTAATCTCTAGGAGGTCGCTATAGAAGATCGCAAGAAGGTCGCCAGATGGTCTCTAAAGGGTATCGTTATGGTCTTGCTTACTAGATAGGTCTTTAGAATGTTACTGATAGGTCTCTAGATAGTTCCTAGAATACGACGGTTTATCCAGAAAGTAAATTGAATTATTTATTCACAAGATCAGAACACGTATTTCATTTTACACGGAATTAAATTATTCAAGATTTTTTTGTTCTTCAAAATTTCTCTAATCTCGTTTTAAACGTATATATGTTTAAGGACAATGAAACGAAGGAAGGATAGTGAGGAGCTAGAATATCCTTCCTATGGTATCACTGGTCCAGCTAAGGATGCATCTCCGGGTGGGGATAGGAAACTGGCACAGTCTGCACAGATGTATCATTATCAGGTGAGCGGCTGAGAGGAACAGTAGTTGTAATTTCCTTCATTTATGCAGTGGGATGTTCGATAAACAACGGTACCCTCAAAATATTTGTCTTTTGACTTTCTGATTTATGCAGCTGAAAATAATAGATAGATAGATAGATAGACAGAAAGATGGATAGATAGATAGATAAATAGATAGATAGAGATGTAAAGTTCAATAAAAATGACTTTTGTGAAACATCTGGAAAATTCTTTAAATAACGAGTCATTAAACAAATTGTGAGCAGTTGGTTATAAAGTATTGTAAGCGTAATGTCCAATGACCATCTATTGCTAGACGTCCCCATCACAGTGTTGTCTGATCAAGTATAAATTAGATATCAGTGGTTATCGTTTTGAAAATTAATTATTATCATTTGTTGTTTTGAGATTTGAGCATTTTTACTGAAGGAAAACATATAGGAATTATTAGGATTAAACACATTTCCGGAGAGAAAAACGACAATATCTTCAGAGGCGTATTCAGGGGGGGCTAAGCCCCCCCTGGACCAATGAAATCTATTGATTTCAGGGGGTTTTCAGGCCCCAACGGGTGCTGAGCCCCCTCCCCCCTGGAAAGAAAAAAAATTTAAGCCCCCCCTGGACAAATTCCTGAATACGCCCCTGAATATCTTACATTATATTGATCAGATAAATGTTTCTAAGGTACCGGCGGGAATCTGACACTATATTGATCAGATAAAGGTTTCTAAGGTACCGGCGTGCATCTGACATTATATTGATCAGATAAAGGTTTCTAAGGTACCGGCGGGAATCTGACATTACCATCTTTGTATGGAGGACCACTTGAAATTATGCTTACAGTCACTTTCAGACGGAACATATATATATTTGTATATTCTAGCACCAGAAGAGTCAGATGATCGGAGCCGGAGAGAAGTGTGTCGGAGGAGGTGTCGGAGGAGAGCATAGTGAGGTGGAGGAGTCAGACGGAGAGGAGGGGGAGGGGGACTATACTGTTTATGAATGCCCAGGACTTGCTTCGGTAAAATTTAAATCTTCATATTAATATGAACTTTTTAAAAAAAAAATTCAACAAACACATGGAAAAAACCTTTTAATAATAATAATTTGATTGGGTATTTCAAAACAAATATAATAGATGTCAAAACTAAACCAATTGAAACCCTTACATTTCTAAATATATCTATTTAAATCGCGGTTGAAAAAATAAATGGGACATTTTTAGTATTTACAACTTATTTTTCCTGGTCGATAAATATTCAACAATTAGAAATAATCATGGTCATCGAAATTGGTCATTAGAAATCGGTTTTTTTTAGCTTGAACGTTTTTAACACTATTTGCAACGTGTTTATTTTTTGATAATGACGACGATTTTATTTAAATTTAGTTTAAATTGTTCTCTCACAAGCATGAAATGTCATTGATCAAGCCTTAAAAAAGAAAAAAACCAACATGTGTACTTTGGAATGGCTGAATGATCCTATTATAGAAATAAGAAATTGAATAATTAAAAAATTAATTAATTAATAAAATTTATTTTTTGATAATGTTTAGACTGATGAGATGGAAGTGAAGAACCCACTATTTGACTACGATCCAACCCCCAAACCTTGAAAACATATCAGAATATAAAATTACAAGTTTTACATAATTTTCTCATCGGCCATCTTCTTACTATGTTCTTAATTCAAGATGTTTAAACAATACTTTGTTAGATCATTTAAAATATGTTTTAATTATTACTCAAACTTTTGTTAGAATATATACAAATAATATAAAAATATATTTTAATCATTACAATTTCTAAAATAGTGTATTATTTATTTTATTATAAATAGTTTGAAATAAATATTTTTAATTATGAATTTTTCAACATCAGAAATATGTAGTGAATGTAATAGAAAAAATATTTTTTAAGAAAAATAATTTTTCTATTCTTTTTAAAACTTACCTTAACTTATATAAAATAATCAAAATCTTCGGTTTCAAAAGTTCAACCAAAATTTTAAAAATCATCTTTGGTAAAAAATTATTTAAAATAGTTAAATGGTCATATTATAGAGTAATTTTTGCACCACGAAAACATGTGCAACTGAAATGCAAATGAAGTTTATACCGAATATCGTAAGTGAGTCGTTATTTTTTTACCCTTACTGAATTGGTTTGAATAAAATATTTGCACTGCATGTATTATTTACAATTACTTGCATTTTATCAATTAGACATTGCACTGTGAACTAGACAAAGGGTCAATATTTCCACTGCATGTATTATTTACAATTACTAGCATTTTATCAATTGGACATTGCACTGTGAACTAAACAGAGGGTCAATATTTCCACACTGTGAACTAGACAGAGGGTCAATATTTCCACTGCATGTATTATTTACAATTACTAGCATGTTATCAATTAGACATTGCACTGTGAACTATTCAGAGGGTCAATATTTCTTTTGCATGTATTATTTACAATTACTAGCATTTTATCAATTAGACATTGCACTGTGAACTAGACAGAGGGTCAATATTTGCACTGCATGTATTATTTACAATTACTAGCATTTTATTAATTACACATTGCACTGTAAACTAGACAGAAGATCAATTTTATGCGGCATTACTAATAAGATTTTTTGCCCTCGTAGATCCTCTAGTTTTTATTTGATCTTCTTATAACTTTTCCATGTTATTTTTAAATTGGCTTTGCCCCGAAATGCCCTGCTTCGCGCACCTCTGCCCCTCTAGTAAAAGTAAATTCAACCTATATGAAGCATAAAGTCTGACCGCGTCAACCTTGATGCACCAGCTAGTCCTGTCCTTAGAGCTAGGTACATTACAAACTGGGACCGGAAAAGTTGACCAGGCTAGGAAATTCAAATGTACTACGGCTGCCCGTGGTTTGACAAGCCTGAAGTGATATCTAGAATATGATTATAGATGATATGATATTGGCCATAGATAATTAAAAATGAAAAAAAGTCTAAGTTAAAAAGTATTTAGATTAAGAGTACATTACTCCAGGTACCCAGTATACCTGATAGAATAATAAAGATAACACTGTTTGTTTTATTATCACTTGAAGTACACTGAACTAGGAACAAGGTTCTGTATATTCCAGAGCAGCATTAGTATGGGAGCTTTTTCTAAATTTGCAGAGCAGAGCAGCTCCGGCCCTGCTGTCTGTAGAGCTCTATATGTTGGTGCTATCATGGCATATATCGGGGGCGTGGCAGTTCCCCGCTGGATCAACTACAAGAAGGCGGAGAGGGATTTGAAGAAAAAAACTATATCCTCGGTTTCTAAACATTATCCAGGAAAGGAGTCAAAACAGAAGGCTGCAGTTAATAAACAGTTCTTTCAACAGCTCAAGAAACTGTTAAAGGTTAATTAAGCTTGGTTGTACTTGTCAATTTGTCCTTTAAAGGTTAATTCAGTTTGGTTATACTTATCAATGTGTCATTTAAAGGTCAATTAAGCTTGGTTATACTTGTCAATGTGTCCTTTAAAGGTTAATTAAGTTTGGTTATACTTGTCAATGTGTCCTTTAAAGGTTAATTAAGCTTGGTTATACTTGTCAGTGTGTCCTTTAAAGGGAGTGTTAAAAGTTAAACCGGCATGGAAAGCTTAATTTAAGATCTCTTTAAAAACATAAAGTAAATATTGTTAATGTTAACTATAATTGTCAAGTTTCTTTTACAAGACGTCACATATTTCCAAAATTCTTGAATCGTCTTTTTCTTTATAAAAGCACAGATTACTCAAGATAGAAGAAGAAGAAATATATTCATTGATTTTGTTTGGTATTTTTATCATTAAAGAGAGTGTTCGTGAAAAGTTAAAGGAAATGTTTGCTGAATACTGAATACTTCGGAATTGATCACCGCCAATTTTACTTCTAGCGAGAGTGGTGTAATGAGGAAAAACGAGTTTTTGTTTAAAATGGAGAGTACATGTAAAGTTGCATTATTCCACTCAAACCGTAAATTATTCAATCAAATCTATACAGTTAATTACTTAAATATTAAAATACATCAATTCTGAATTTTATAATGATAATACATCATAATATTTTTGTAATTGTATATATATGAATATATGTACAATGAATTGTAATATATAATATATATGTATAAATACATATATTTACCATGAATTACTTGTTTAGATAATGATTCCTGGTTTATGGAGTTTTGAGGCAGGTTTACTCTCCATTCACACTTTTGTACTGGTGGTTCGAACCTTCCTCTCCATACACGTAGCTCAACTGGAGGGACGGATGGTTAAACATATTGTCAGGTAGACCAGTTTTATAATATATCTGATGGTGGACCTCGTCAAGTTTATTCTATTCTAGAACTGAGCAAATAAATTGAGTCTTTGCCTCAAACTCTGATTTTCTAACTCTGAAACCCAATGTTGTAGACCTTCGATATTTCAAACTATAAATTCTATATATTCTATATATTTAGTAAAAAAATTAAGCCCAGCTCAAATAAACTAAGTTTAAAGTTTCAAAGGTTTACATTATCAGGGTTTAAAGATATAGAGATTAGAACATTCGAGTTTGTGGCAAAGACTCGCGATACCTTTATGATTACAATGAGGTATATTTAAAAACAAGTTTAACGAAGAAACATGTTATGAACTCTTTATAAATCATATAGATCCGGAATGATATGAAAAGTTGCAAGTACAACTCTGGAGAAATTGTTTTAAGGTTTAGTTTTTGGGAAGTTTTTGAAAAAATTCTCATCGATTTTTGCTTGAAGGCACCTTTCGACACCGACGATAATTTGCAGTCGGAATTAATTCGGAACCATAGCCAAGGGTCTGTTCCTCTGTAACTGAGAAGAAGTATTTTCTAAAAATTGAATTTAAAGTGACATATTTTCGAAAGAGAGAAAACGAAAGACGAATGTTTCTTGTTTAAGGAGAGATGTCTCTAGTTTCGCCTGGTTGTTTGCTTCCTGGTTTGGGGTTGCTATACCTGCTACTTTCATCAACTCACTCATCAGGTTCAAACCAAATATTCTTTTTTTAAATTAAAGGTAGTATAGACGTAATTTAGATCAAGTGAAGCTCCGATTAATTACCTTAACATATTTGTCTGATTATGGATGAATAAGATATCCTTATTTTTCTGATGGTTTCTCTATCAGACTTTCGGATTTGCGCTGTTGAGATAATGAAGAAAATTTGTCAAAATTCAACTCCGTTTTAAGATAAAAAACGATAGTATCTTTCTCATTATTATTAGTGTAAAGGTTAAAAATCATTTATTAAATAAAGGTCACTTTAAATAGAACTCACTTTCCCTTTAACGCTCTCATTTTGTTCCATGTTCCAAGTTCAACTCAAACCTTTAACCATTAGTGAAGTTTTTTCTATACCTTGTGTTTACAATTATTATAGAATTATTGCATGGAAACTACTTAATATTAAAACTTGATTCTACGTGGTGAAATGTAAAAAATAAAATATTCCGTGAAATTTAACTTTATTTTAAACTCTAGCTCTATTCTATAGAATAGATTTAAATATTTGGTGCAGTTTAGAGAATATAAATTATATTTCAATTTGCTGAAAATTTCTATAGTAGTCGGCACTTATATCAATACACCGAAGACGACTTTTCTTATTAAGTTTTTAGTTCTTACACACTTTTTTGAATTACAAGTTTACAAGTGTTTATGTTTATATGTGTATCCATGCTGTTTGAAAGCTTGGTTGTAATCAAAATTCAACTTGAAAGTCGTCTTCGTTGTATTGATAAATACGAAACCGACTGTATTTAATACCCCCTGTTATCCAGATACCTGGAGAACAAACTTGCATTGGCTTTCAGAACCAAACTAGTAAACGAGGCCTACCACAGGTACAGTTAGATAGATACAGGGTGTACCTTTAAATTTGACGGAAATATTAAGAATTTTGTCCATTTTCATTTTATTCAATACTGGCTGGAGTGCCCGGCGTTGCCCGAGTAATCAAAAAAGTTTTAAATTGAATATTATATAGATAAGCTGAATCTTCAGATTTCGAATATCTCTGTCATGTTCCAAGATACAAAAATACAACTTTTTTGAATGTTCAAAGTCCGAAAGTTATTATTTTACATTATATTTATATTATATTACATTATATTTATTAGATATCAAAATTTTAGAACATTCTTTATACAATTTCACTTGGTAGGTTTGTAGGTAGTTTGATTTGTAGATAGATAAATGGATATATATATTTATAAAAGCAGGTAAGTAAGGTAGGAAGCTAGATACTGATAGGTAGGTAGGTATCAAGTTAGGTAGCTAGGAAGCTAGATACTGATAGGTAGATAGGTATCAAGGTAGGTAGCTAGGAAGCTAGATACTGATAGGTAGGTAGGTATCAAGGTAGGTAGCTAGATTGATAGGTTTATTGGAATCTTATTCAAAAGTTCCCAGTTTAGCTCTGGTTAAGCGTGGATGCAATACTATCTTTACTGACACTGTCTCCAGGTACTTGAGTGATCAGACCTATTACCGAGTCTCCAACCTAGATGGAAGGTTGGATACTCCAGATCATTGTCTCACAGACGACCTTTCAGCTTTCTCAGGAATCAACAATATTTTAAAGAATATGAAAAGTTTCAGATTTTATATTCGGTTTGAAAAAACGCTAACAAGTAAAATTATAAATTCATATCTCATATTTTGTAAATTTGCACAATTTAATTTTTGAGATTTTTGTCAAAGTAGTTTATTAGAAGATCTTTATTTAGAATTAAATCTGGATTAAAATTGGCGAATACGGGGAAGGTAAGAAATTGATGCATGCTGTTTGTTTGTAAATATAGGAAGTTCAGAATCCAACCAGGATTAAATTGAAAGATTAATTAATTCCTCTTTTTGAAGGCCTCCGAACAAACATTTTTGTTAAGACATGGTTCTTGAGCGATTGGGTAACCCGGAAAGAATGAGTCAACTTAAAACTGTTAAAATATGGCGATCTTATGGTTGGCTTATAATTTTATGATTTGAAAAAAAAGAAACGCGAGTAAAGTTGCAGGGAATCATAAATATAAGGAAACAGACAGTATAAATTCCGTACAGTCGTCTTTGAAGTGTAATTTTTTTGTGGGTAACCCTGTATAACCCTGTATTAACTAATTTAAGCGCAGGATTTAAAGATGCAATTTATCCTCTTTCTAGAGGATGTCGTCGTTGCTGGTTTAAATGTCGTCTAATTCAATAGTTTAAATAATAAAACACAACCAGTGGTTATATGTTTACATTCCTCCCAGAATCGGCAGTACAGATATGTTTACATTCCTCCCAGAATCTGCAGTACAAATATGTTTAAATTCATCCCAGAATCTGCAGTACAGATATGTTTAAATTCATCCCAGAATCTGCAGTACAGATATGTTTACACTCCTCCCAGAATCTGCAGTACAGATAATTGCATGGAACTTCCTTTTATATTCCTTGATTTGATTAGTCGAATCCTAATTTTGAGAAAAGATAAATATTTGATTTTAGCAAGTGTTGCTCATATATATTCACATATATCTAAACCTCTACTGGACGCAACTCTCATCACATTCTCTCTATTCAGGATCGCTAAAGCTCAGCAATCAAATACATCAGCAGGTGATCAAGTGTAAATGATCAAATATTAATTTTTTTGTCTGTAAATTGCACCCCGCAACCGGCGAGTTTCCCGACGCTCTAGCACCAGCGATCCGGCTGGCAAGTACATTTTTGGAACAGGAGAAAAAAATCGCAGTGGTAGGCTACCACTGCGATTTAATGGTCTCACGCTCTCAAGCAAAAATCGTTGAAAATTTAGCCAATTACTTCTAAAACACCAAAGCTAACAACAAGTGCTTTACATTGCTAAAATGTACATGAAAAGGGCCACAGAAAAGCAGAATCGAGTTAGTGCGGTAAAATCTAAGCTTAGGGCGTTGCAAGCGACACTTCAAAGTCAGCCCTGTCTTAAAAATTGATGAGACTGTTTATAAGCAGGCTGAATCTATGTGCTGCCTATCTGGTCCTCGAATCTTACCATCAACCTAGAAATGGACAAATTATATAATACCTAAAATGTTCTACCTTGATGAGGAGACTGTTAACGTAATATCAGGTTTCAAGTGAGGAACAATTAGAATGGTATCGTCGTTCTTGAAAAGTACCTCTTCTAAACAAATCCTCAAACCCCCATCATTCAAACTATAAGGTTTACAGGACACTGTTGTGAATCAGGCAATAATTCAAATGGAGAGTCAATTTGAATTATGTCGGCAGTCCCTTTAATACTAAACGTTTAGTTTAAAGGGACAGACCGTCTATGTATGGTAGTTAAACTGAGTATGCAGTGTTGTGGACAAATTCTTTAGGATTCATTTAAGACATATAAAACTGTTCCACGATATATAATTACTGAGTTTGAGTGTATAGTAGACGTTCAAAATCATGAATTGGGGGAGTACGTTTTCAGAATCGGTTTTTTAAAATTATTAAATAACGACGACGAAAAATAAAGTAAAAATTATACAGTAATCTAATTAGATGTTTAGGAACATATCTCTCAATATAAATATGTCAATAAATCAATGCTAAAATCAAATATTTCGTTTTCATCATTAAATTGAATATCTTATTTTCTATGAATTTGTTCGCAGATTTCTTCAAATTCCTCAAATGTCGTTTTTTTAAAAAAAATTCCAGAAAATCTGCAGATAATCTTTGTGAATAATTTAGAGATTATAGATACTAATAATTGAATAAGTATACTTATTTTCGATGATAAGATTATTTTTATTTTCTCAACCTGTTCCTAAACAACTAGTTAGTTTACTGTAGAATTTTGTATACATTTTTTGTCGTCGTTATTTAATAATTAAAAAAACAATTCAGAAAATGTTTAGTTTAAGAATTATGATTATGTTTTTAACTTGTTTTTACTAGGTCCTATATTAGCTGGTGTAGTGGTATGGGGCACTGCCAGGCTACTAAGATTGGTGTCACCAAAGGTGAAGAAAGATTTAAGAGATATAAGATAAAACAAGAAAAAAATAAAACAACAATTCAATGTCGTCTTTAATTTAACTTAAAAATATGAACACCGCTTATTTAATTTCCATGTCATAAATAAATATGTGTACGGTTGCCAAGAATACCACAATCTAAAGTCTTAATTCGAGATTTAAAATTAAAATTATTCTTGTTATCGGAAAATAAACGACGTATCAAAAAAGATTGAAGATTTTAAAATTTCAAATTGAAATACACGATCTGATGCGATGTGGGATCCGGCCTGTTTAACAGATTTGAACATTTTAGTTTGGTGAATTGGTGGCAGAGGAAGCAGCTAGAAAAGGTCATCTTCGATATATTCATTCCAGGTACTTCAGGCTTATTTACATTTACCGGAAATGCAAAAGGTTTGTCGACAAACAAATTCCGGAAAGTTGACATTACCGAAAAGATAAGCTCTGCCTTTTTTTTGCAAAGCTTGGCCGCATTTATATGTAGTGCAAGGCCTCCTTATCTATCCTTACTGCAGCGATCGGCACCATAAACTATCATAGTCTCAGCAGTCAGCGATCACCCCCCTCCCCCCACCTCATGCAGCCTGCACAGTTTGATCATTCCGAAGTTTGTCTTTTTTATGGAACCGTTAATTACTTATTACAAATTTCTCGTCATAAATACTGTTTCTCTTTGACTGATAAAGGCTTAACCCTAAATGATAAGGCCATAATGAACTCTTTGAATATGATGACATCAAAGTTGAATTTGGTTTAGTGCTTTGAAAATAGGAACAGAACTGGCTATAATTTTCACCAAAAAAGATTGCAGCTAAAGGGAACCGTAAACGTAAGAAGAAAAAATAAATAAATCCGTACAGTACAGTACAGTACAGTACAGTACAGTACACTACAGTACAGTACGGTACAGTACTGTACAGTACTGTACAGTACAGTACACTACAGTACAGTACAGTACAGTACAGTACAGTTTTCTCTAAAATCTTATTCTTTGTGGGTAACCTTGTACATAACCCATAGCATAACCATGTCTCTATTTCTGTCAAATACAATACCAATAATAAAAACTGTACTTTTAATGATCAAAATTCACAACATTATTGTTAGTTTTTAGATTTGAATTCTTTATTTATTATTGCTTAGGATAATAGCGAATGCTGAAGAAATTGCGTTCTACTCCGGGCACGAGGTTGAGCTGGTAAACCTGAAACAAGCTTACTCCGGACTAGTAGAACAATCTAACAAGATTTATCTGAGTAAACTCTGGTATATTATGCTAGAACAGTTCCTCATGAAGTACGGTTGGGCAGGTAAAGGGTACAGTGTACTTATTTTGTCATCCTGTTCCTTATCTTCTATGACTTCTATATCATTATATCCCCCGTCATTATCCTCTCATTCTGTCCATCCTGTTCCTTATCTTCTATGACTTCTATATCATTATATCCCCGTCATTATCCTCTCATTCTGTCCATCTTATTACTTATATTCTATGACATCTATATCTTTATATCTCCCGTCATTATCCTGTCATTCTAACCATCCTGTTACTTATCCTTATCTCCTAATTCCTTCTATTTAGATCTTTTTACTTCCCCCTACCCGTCTCTTTTTTGTCCCTAAATCCTCCCACTCTCCTCGTGCTCCCATCTTTTTCCAATTCTACTCAAATTCAATTTTTACCATCTCTCTCAATTCTTCCCAGCTTTCCCTTCCTCCTCCTGTTCCAATTCTACTCGTTACCTATTCTGTTCCCTACCTCCTTAAATCTTTCACCTGTCCCCTTTTCATCATGTTCAAATCACACTCTTTCTCCTTCATCCTTAATTCATACCACCAGCCCTCGTCTCCTTTCCTTGGCCCACTTCTCCAACCATGTTTGTCTGTTTGTTTGTCTGTTTGTTTACTCCGAAATTAATTGATGTAAATATTTCATGAGTAATATATTTAATCATAGGATATATTATTCTATTTGCTGCAGGCGGCCCTGGTTTTTTTTTCTAGATGCCAAAAATATAGAATTTGGGGTTGATTTCGATCGCGTTAACACACCTTTTTTGATATAAAGAAAATTCACAATTCGCTTGAAATAAAAAAGGTTTTTAAAAAAAATATATTTACAGGAAGATTGATAATAAGGTTTTCAACTTGACAGCAAAATTTCTCGATGAATGAATGATTTTAGATAAATTTAATTCTGAATACAAAGTTGTAAATTGAATAGGATCCTCTGAATGATAGTAATCTTCAGTCTCCAAACAGTTTCTTTAAGATTTAAACAAACATTGTCAAATTTAAAACTCTTATAACTTAAAAAACCCCATTTTTGAATTAAAAAATGTATGAAGCGATTTTTTCGTTAAACAGCTTAACAAATTTTGGACGAGTAATTATACTTTTATAAATTTGAATAAAAATACACTTTAGAACAATCGTAATTGATTCGGCAATTATATTTTAAACAACAAAATTATTATACAGGGTGCCCAACGAAACATGACAGATGTTGAATAGTTTTGAATGTCGTCTTCCATATACTGTATTAATTATTTAAGACTTTTTGTTCAAAATCAATTTTACTATGATATGACTGCTATAAATAATATTTGTTATCATTCTCTTTGGTATCAAACAACTTAACAAGTTATGGAAGAAGACATTTCAAACTATTCACTAACTGTCATGTTTCGTGGAACACCCTGTATTTAAACAACTTCTGTATATACAATTTTAAAAAAAAAAAAACCTCCATGGACCCAAAAAAACCTCCATGTCAGCTATATATATTTCATTCTGTAATCTTCAAACTATTTAATATTCACGAACATTCCCTTAGATATAAATTGTTTTGAAGTTAAGAAAGTCCTTTAAATTTAAAAATTGTATTCAATCTATTAAACTTAAATTGAATTGGACCCGAGGATGATATTTAGTTTTCACTCTCCGTTCAAGCTACATTGATACCCTCCTTTAAATAATCTAAAGCTATAGTATCCATCCAGAATATATAGTTGAGTAAATTCAGTGTTACCCACAAAGCACGAGACTTTACTGACTGCTTGAAACTATTTAACCAATCTTATGATTGAAACAGGGTTTCTGACTTGTAAAAAAAACTTTTAAAGGTACAGGGTTACCCACAAAGGATGAGACTTCAGAGACGACTGTTGGGAACTTATACTGCCTGTTTCACGGAGTACATTTGAATTTCCGAGCCGGGTCAACCTTTCCGGTCCCATTTTTTACTGTACCTAGCTCTTTGGACAGGACTTTCCGGTGCAACAAGGTTGACGCGGTCAGACTTAATGCTTCATGAAGGTTGAATTTTCTTTTACCAAAGGGGCAGAGGTGCGTGGTTTCCTTATATTCATGATTCCCTGCAACTTTAAACTTATTTCTTTCTTTGTCCAATTATTAATTAAGTCATTAAAAGACTATATCTAAGACAGAAGTCTTAATTTCACCATGATATTGTCATATTTTAAGAGTTTTAGGTCGTCTTTACATTTTCATTCTTTGTGGGTAAACCTGTATATTATAAAGATATAAAGATAAAGTCACCACCTGCTGGAATCCATGATTAAATTTGAGGGAAAATACTGAATAAATTAAGAACAGTCGACTCTAAAGTCTCATGTTTTGATAGGTTCCCTTGTAGAAATATATTGAATAGGAACCGGGATGGTTATGATCTCTATTCCAATCCTAACCTCTCAGAAGGATCAGAACGGAGAAACTGGGATCAGTGATCGTACAGAATACTACACCACTGCTAAGGTTTGTTTGTACATACAGTGTACATAAAAATTCAAAGATTACCAAGTATATCCATGAAATGCTTCAATTTGACAAAACCTTTGATAGTAATTCGCTAAAAAATTTGTAAAAAAAACGTTGTACAAAAAATAGCCTGCTCAGTAGTCAGTACTCACTATTTTAAAGAGGTTTCACCTGTTTTTTTTCAAACTAGAAATGCATTTTTAATATCGCAGTAGTCGTCTTAAAATTATCATGTTGAGAATTACAGAACTAGCTTTCAATATCTTAAGCTCGTAATTATGGCAAACTCCGCTTTCTAGTTGATTCGCGCCATTTTTTCTAGTGACAAATTTAGTTTTTTAATTGATTTTCAATCCATGTTTTTTTCTTTATACATTAGAAAACTTAAATTTTTACGGATTGATGGATTTTCCATGCAAAATGTACAAACTACCGGCCAAAAACTTTCTTTTTGATAATTTTAATCATTGAAAATATTTTTTTCGAGGTTTACAGTTGATTTCTTTCTGCTTATTAAACAAAGTTAGTTCCGTTTAACAATCATCAAATCTTCAAACTGGGTATTTCAGCTTTTGTTTCTGGTAGCAAATTCTTTTTTAGTTATCTTTTATTCAAGAATTATGTTATCAATATTTATTTGATTTAGAAAATAATTATTAATAAAATCTCCGGACTTCATGTTTACGTAAAATCAAACTTTTCTTGGAAAAATAAAATGAATAATCAAACCTGCGGGTTGTTATTGAAAATCATTGAATAGGATAAAGATCCTGCGTCATCTTTATCATTTGAATATCAGACCCTTCACTAAAAGGGAAAATAATGTTAAATGTAATTTCACATTTTTCTATAATTTTGTAAAGCATTAATATATTCAAGGGTTCTATGAAAAATAACTTTCAGGAAATTAATTCCTTTTTTATTTAACATTTTTTTAAAATTCAAACGTAGAAAAAAAACTAAAAAAATCAAAAAATCAATTAAATTTTTCAGGACATAATTTTTTTTTACGTGAGTTACTTAATACGCACTGAAATTGGAGTAAGAGAGTATGACTTCGTCTTGGAAATTTTAAAAGTTGTCTTTTAAATTTTAGAATAAAGTAATTTTCTGAAAACCGTTTTACTGCCTTTTGACTAACATTCCCAGTACCTATGAAATCCCCATCAGAGGGAGGTTAAATTACTAATGTTTTGTACGCAAAATTGGTCTTGGGATCCCATGGTAAAGTAAAATTTCCTTAACTTAATTGTAAAGTAGTTGTAAATAATAATTAAAAAGCTATTTATTTGGGGTGGGTCAATTAGCGTAAAATAATACACAGGTACAAAACGGTGAATAAGATAATATGAAATAACAAAACGTGGAATGGTAAAAACGTCAAAATTTTAATTTGCTTTAATCCGAAAGAACAATAATTCAATTTTATAATCTAAAATTTATAAGTTACTTTATTTTTTTTAAGCATTTAGCATGTTTTAAATTACGACGTTTAGTCTTGAAGTTTGAAATTTATTTGTTTTATACCAATCTTTGTTTTATTAAATTCAGAAGTTTTTTTGCCATTTTATTTTCGACGTTTTGTATATGCTGTAGCGCATCCTGTTGTATACCCACTACTGTTGTTTTGTATATGCTGTACCGCATCCTGTTGTACACCCACTCCTGTTGTTTTGTATATGATTATGCTGTACCGTATCTTGTTGTACCCACTCCTGGTGTTTGTATATGGCTGTACCGCATCCTGTTGTACCCACTCCTGTTGTTTTGTATATGCTGTACCGTATCCTGTTGTACCCACTCCTGGTGTTATGTATATGCTTTACCGTATCCTGTTGTACCCACTCCTGGTGTTTTGTATATGCTGTACCGTATCCTGTTGTACCCACTCCTGGTGTTTTGTATATGCTGTACCGTATCCTGTTGTACCCACTCCTGGTGTTTTATATATTCTTTACCGTATCCTGTTGTACCCACTCCTGGTGTTGATTTAGAACTTGTTGACGAGTGGAGCGGATGCTATGGAGAGGTTGATGACAGCATACAAGGAGGTTGTAGAACTAGCAGGATACACACATCGTGTACACAATATGTTCACAGTATTCGAGGATTGTGCTAAAGCTAAGTAAGTATTTTAAAGAAGTTAAATCAGGTGAAAAGCAATTTCAACCAAACTTAGAAAAAATACAGACTGCCAGTTCAGGATATTACNATTCCTACAGCCTAGGAGAACAGAGCTCTGCTAGAAAGCTCTCTGCACTATACAGTTGCATTCCTACAGCCTAGGAGAACAGAGCTCTGCTAGAAAGCTCTCTGCACTATACAGTTGCATTCCTACAGCCTAGGAGAACAGAGCTCTGTTAGAAAGCTCTCTGCACTATACAGTTGCATTCCTACAGCCTAGGAGAACAGAGCTCTGCTAGAAAGCTCGCTGCACTATTTGCAGTGGACGCTGAGAAAGGTGTCTGCACGTATGGAGGGAGGGAAGGCCACGCGGCCCTGAACCCCGTGCTCAATTAGCTAGCCTCCTTCTTAACTACAGTAGCCACGGCTGGGGTACTAAGTCAAGAAATAGGAAAAATACAGAGCTACTTTGTCTAATTCTAATCCAGTTTTATATCATCTCCAATTAGCGATCGGAGCCCTGTCTGGAAGGGCCCTTTCCCTGCTCCATGGGCAAAGCTGCTAAAAGTGTGAACTGCTGTATGCATTCTGCATACAGCAGTGCACACTAAATGCGATACTTCCTAAAGAATTCCTCTGGACTTGAAAACAGTAAAACATGTGGCTGCAAATACGATTAAGAAAAACAAAAAAACGTAGAGGGGGACATCTATGCAATGAATGGGTGATCCTGCTCTGTCTTATAATGGCGCAAAGACAGCGACTCGTAAACATTCTTTCAAAAGCAGCGCCATAAATGGACGGGCACACGGAGGCAAGAAAAGAGAAACTGCGGACGCTCAGATGGAGAAAGGAGACAAAAGATGAACATTTGAAATTATTAACTATGCCTAGTGCCATTTTATTTTACAAAAATTATAAAAAATAAATTATAAAGCATTGTTAAATAAATTATAAAAACATTAAAAGATTAACAAAAACAAGAGTAAGAAGATTAAATTTAATGATCTTTAAATTGACAGTTAAGAAACAAAAACAAATTGTACTTTTACCAAGGATGTGAGGGGTTTAGGGCCTGGGGTGCTGACAGTCGGCTCAAAAGATACCAAATTTCATAACTTGAATAAAAGAGGAGGGGGTCTGATTCCAATACATTTATACCCTGGATTAAAACTAAAACAAAACTGAACAAAGTTAATATTAAACAGCGATGAAAAACAAAACAACAACATTGTAGCGTTCTTGAACAATATAAGGGAGTTGACGTGAGTTTCAAGTTCATCCTGCACATAGATCCAGACTGGAATATCATCCTGCACATAGATCCAGACTGGAATATCATCCTGCACATAGGTCCAGACTGGAATGTCATCCTGCACATAGATCCAGACTAGAATATCATCTTACAAGAACTGCAAAGTACTTGTATTTACCTCTTGCTTTAAAGACGTAATTGGCAAAGTTGTCGTAGATTTTTTAGCAACTTTTGGGTCACTGTGCCTGATAAGTTAAGTCTCATTAACTATCAAACCAGGATCTGATCTGATCTGATGTTAATGAAAAAGATATCGAATTTAAACTTAAATTAAAACGGAAAATATTTCATAAATACTCAACTTATTTTGAATGATTCAATTTCTAAAGCTTCCTAATTTGATTATTCCTTACTCATTTTCTCATTGAAAATAAACTCGAGTGTTTTCTTCTCAAATTCGATTATATAAGTTTACTCTTAAGTACCTAAATAGGACACATTAATCCAATTGCAATTAATTACAAGTTCTCACGCAAAAATCAATGAAAATTTGGTTTGCCAATTACTTTTAAAGAACTATGGCTAAAACTAGTTCGTTAATACATAAAAAGGTATAAGTGGAATAACATCGCGACACTTTAAAGTCGACCCAGTCTTAAAAATTGGTGAAATTTTTCATAGCTGTCTGAATTGGTTTGTATCAGTTTTCTTTTAGTAGATATGTACCTTAATAAACCCTCGGATTCAAGTTTATTCGTTGGATGTTTCCCTTGAATAATCCAGAATAGGATTTAATTTAACTAATCCTATTCCAGTAATAATTAGTTTAGTATTACGAAATAAAAAATTATAATAATTTCTGGTATTTTGTTATTTAAAATCTTTCATTCTTTTTAATTTGCTCCAGGTATAGATTAATAACAATACAGATAAAATACTAGATGTTGACTTTTCAAGAATTTGGGGATTTTTGTTCACAAAAAACCTGAGGCAGAGGACTAAGGAGTTACGCGCATTCTCTCTCTCTGTCTTGTAATTCAACGCTGCCTGCGCGGAACTCCGTTGGGGTTCTGCCTCAGGGTTATTGTGGACGAAAACCCCTTAAATCTTGAAAGGATGACATCTTGTGTTATATCTGTATTGTTATTAATCTATGACTACAGGTATGACCGTGGTGTGGTGAGTGTATGTCAGGACCTGGAGTTGAAGGACGGACTTCCTGTTATCCAGGGAGTAGTTGAGGAGTCCCAGGAGTATATTAGCCTGGATAGGGTTCCTATTGTTACTCCGAACTGTGATGTCATTGTGTCCAGTTTATCTTTAAAGGTAAACAATAAACAAATATAAACATGTTTCCGTCCGCTCCACTCTTAAAAGATAAAAAACTGTTTAACAGATAAAATTGTAATATTTAAAGGGGAGTTTGAACGTATAAGCTGAAAGATGTTTGCAAAAAATCTATTTTCTAACTTTATCTATTCTCTGTATGAAAAGTATACGCCAGAAAGATGCGAAATTAATCAGTTCTTACAAACATTATTTCTAATTTATTACCTAATACTGGTAATAGTGAAAACTTGTAATGTTCTTCCTCACGTCTTCAGATTCATGTATCCAGGTTCATGTATCCAGGTTCATGTATCCAGGTTCATGTATCCAGGTTCATGTATCCAGGTTCATGTATCCAGGTTCATGTGTCCAGGTTCATGTATCCAGGTTCAAGTATTCAGGTCCATGGATTATTGAATCTGTTTTGTGCAGGTTCAACCTGGCCAGCATGTTCTTATCTCTGGTCCCAATGGATGCGGAAAATCATCTTTATTCCGTATTCTCTCTGGCTTGTGGCCGGTTTACAAGGGAAAAGTGGTTCGACCCAATCCTTCCAAGATTATCTTCATCCCACAGAGACCATACATGACCATTGGAACATTGAGGTAAATTAATAAGCTGAAATTTCTTTCCATGAAATTCTGAACGATTTGAATTTTCTCAGAGTTATTATTTTCGCTTGAGAGTTTGGACGCAATAAACTCTGTGTTCCTCTACTCTTCTCTTAAGGCTAAAAGTATTCCATGAAATTCTTAGACTCTTATAGAACTTTATGACATTCTTAAAGGAACTGAGTTTTTGCCACAAACTCTGATTTTCGAACACCTATATCCTTTACAACCCGATGTCTAGGGACCAGGTGATCTACCCGGACAGCCAGATTGAGATGTTGAGGAAAGGTTGGAAAGATCATGATCTAGAGAATATTCTTGAGATTGTAAACCTCAATCATATTGTTACCAGGGAGGGAGGCTGGGACGTTTCTGCAGATTGGAAGGTTTCTTTTATACATTTACTTTTTTTTTAATATTTTTTATTTTGTTTATTATTTATCTGTTTTAGGATATATTATCAGGTGGGGAAAAGCAGAGAATGGGGCTGGCTAGACTATTCTATCAAAAGTAATTTATTTTATAATTTTCGCCAGAGCCCGAAATTAAAGAATTGTTGGATCCACTTAAAAGCATATTCATTGCTCAATTGAAACCGGTTTTTGACGGATTTAGGCTGCGGCTCAAATTCATTAAATTCGGGCACTGAACATGTTTTCTGACTCCTTTATGTCGATGAGTTTGTTTTAAGGAATTGGAACTTTCTACATAATTCGATTTGATGTTGTCTTCCAACGTACTTTTCAGTGGGGACTACTGTATGCAAAGTATTCAATTGTGCAAATAATTTAGTTACTTAAAGTCCTTCCGGTATAGGAAATGGTTACGGAGCAAATAAATCCAAGTTTAGAGCTTAAAATATGAATTATGCATTTTACATAAATACATATATTTGCTAGACCAGTGTGGGCTCTGTTAGATGAGTGTACGTCTGCAGTTAGTATTGATATAGAAGGGAAAATATATCAGGTATTTTATATTCTTTTTATAAAAATATTAATATTCTTTAATCTTTATGAATGCTCAAATGTAGAAAGTTACTTTAACGTAGTTCATGAAACATGACTTACCCACAAAGGATGAGCCTTTAANGTACACATACAGACAATAGGGCAAAACGGGACAGTACACATACAGACAATAGGGCAAAACGGGACAGTACACATACAGACAATAGGGCAAAACGGGACAGTACACATACAGACAATAGGGCAAAACGGGACAGTACACATACAGACAATAGGGCAAAACGGGACAGTACACATACAGACAATAGGGCAAAACGGGATAGTACACTAAATGAATCATCAGCCCTTTCTAAGGAGATTATAATATTAATATGATCAGGCAGCTAAGGATGCAGGAGTCACACTTCTAACCATTACTCATCGTCCGACCCTAGCACAGTTCCATACACATCTACTACAGTTCGATGGACAGGGAGCCTGGAACTTTGGAGCTCTTTCTCTGCAGGTACATAGGGAGTCATTGAAAGGGAGCGGGGAACTCTGGAGCTCTTTTTCTACAGGTAGATAGGATTAGGGAGTCATGTGGCAACTTCGGAGCTCTTTAATTATTGGAAGAAATGGAATGATGGGCAGGGATCTTTAAAGTTTGGAGCTCTTTCTCTCCAGGTAAATATGGAGTCATGCTTTAATGCCTTAACTGGACCTCAATGTAACTTTAAGTTAAGTTAAGATTAAGATATTGTCTTAAATGTCTTTTAATTGTATATTATTTAACCAAAAAAATAATTGTTTCAAGCTGCAGTGAACCATGAATGTAAGAAAAAGAACTGTGGAAAACCGTGTAAAAAGAATGTGTATTCTGTATAAATTCTATTGCTCATATGTAAATCTATCGTTTCTAATTAATTTCCCAGTTTTATTTCCCCTTTACCCGCCCCGATTAGAATTTATGGTTCATTGAGCATTCAAGATACATCTGGGATTTTCTCTTCTCAAATTTATAAAACCTCAGAGTTCAGGGAATTCCGACATTCATAAGAATCAAACGACGACTTGTATTTAGTCAATAAATAGCTAATGTCAAGTGACATTCATTTGAAAAGGGGAGTATTGAGGGTGTTATATATACTCTTCTTCTAATTGAATCCCATGGGTATTATGTTGTAACATATTTGTGTATCAGGAAAGTAAGACTTTACAAATTTCAAAACTTAAAAATATCACAAAATAAGTTTTTATGATTTTAACAAAGCAAACCGATAAAGAACACAACTGCTCTTCCTGCGCGCCGTGCCAAACCCCTTACAGGCAGTGTGAACAAGTTGATCATGGGTTCTAAAGGAATTGAGTCTTTGTCACAAACTATGATTTTCTAATCTCTATATCTTTTTAATCCAATGCCGTAGACCTTGGATATTTCAATCTATGAATTCTGTTAGATCAAATATTTAAGTTTAAATTTTGTAGCTTTACGCCATTAGGTTGCAATGATATAGTGATTAGAAAGTTTGAGTTTGTGGGAAAGACTCAGTTCTTTTGATGCAAAAAAATGTTGATTAGAAGGGACTGCAAAGGAAAAATGAAAGGGAGGCTGAAAGCTTAGCGCGCATTTGAGGAGTTGATCGAGACATATCAGAGTTTTATCTGGTGTTCCTGTCTCGAGAAATTGATATAAAACTGTGTCACAAACACAGATTTACTAATCCTAATATCTTTAAAACTTGANACTCTGGAGCTCTTTTTCTACAGGTAGATAGGATTAGGGAGTCATGTGGCAACTTCGGAGCTCTTTAATTATTGGAAGAAATGGAATGATGGGCAGGGATCTTTAAAGTTTGGAGCTCTTTCTCTCCAGGTAAATATGGAGTCATGAATAGGGAACTTTGGAGCTGTTTTACTGCAGGTAGATGTGGATTCCTAAATAGGGAACCTGGAACTTTGAAGATCTTTTACTGCAGGTAGATGTGGAGTCATGAATATAGAACCTAGAACTTTGGAGCTCTTTTACTGCAGGTAGATGTGGAGTCATGAATAGGGAACCTGGAACTTTGGAGATATTTACTGCAGGTAGATATGAAGTCATGAATAGGGAGCCTGGAACTTTGGAGCTCTTTCACTGGAGGTAGATAGAGAGTCTTTTGGTAACTTAGGAGTTTTTTTTTACTAGAAGATTATTGAGTTGTTGAGAAGGAGCCAAGAACTTTTTAGTCCTTTCACAATAGGTATATATAAAGAGCCAAGGACAGGGAGCCTAAAACTTTGTAGTTTTTCATAAAAGGTACATATGGATACCAATACTTGGAGCCTTAAACTTGGATTTACAATCTTGATTAAACGGCAAAATCTATTAGAATTATCTTTCATAATTTACGTTTCAAATATTAAATTGTTTTCGCCACAATGTTAACACCATCTTTTCTGTTCCAAAGAGATATATTGGGTTGTCAAAATTTAGTGCGATATAGATCTTTTTTGGCGCTAGAAATAGATTTTACGAGGTTAGATATTTCCTCTGTGAGAGCCGCTAAGTTTTGCGCTAGATATATCTTATGTCGTACATAAGATATATACGTTACATAAATACGTAATGTCATAAAAACTCCAACTATTGTGCAGGCTGCAATAAAAAAAAACATTTGATTCTATTTGTATTCAGGTGTTCTCTAGTTTAGAGGAGGAGAAGAATAAAATAGAAGAGAAGCTGAGACAGGTTTCACATTCAAACCCTTTATTCTATTTTACAAATTTTGCAATTTTTATCCTATTTGTCGGTTTGAGGAATTTAACACCTTCTGAAGGAGATGAATTTTCAATCAAAGAGAGCTTTTAACGTAGTTTTTAAAAGCTAATTAATCTATCTATTAGTATTGAAAAAAAAAATAATAAAATGTTTAAAAATTATAAATTTCAAATTATAATCTTTAAAAATCATAAAGAGAAAACGTGTGGCTCATAATAAATCGACTTTTCAAATTATTTCCTTGAAATTGTATAAAAGAACACACTAGTCTCTTCAGCTCACGTCAAACTAAAGTAAATTGTATAAAAGAACACACTAGTCACTTCAGCTCACGTCAAACTAAAGTAAATTGTATAAAAGAACACACTAGTCACTTCAGCTCACGTCAAACTAAAGTAAATTGTATAAAAGAACACACTAATCTCTTCAGCTCACCTCATACTAAAGTAAATTGTATAAAAGAACACACTAGTCTCTTCAGCTCACGTCATACTAAAGTAAATTGTATAAAAGAACACACTAGTCTCTTCAGCTCACGTCATACTAAAGTAAATTGTATAAAAGAACACACTAGTCTCTTCAGCTCACGTCAAACTAAAGTAAATTGTATAAAAGAACACACTAGTCTCTTCAGCTCACGTCAAACTAAAGTAAATTGTATAAAAGAACACACTAGTCTCTTCAGCTCACGTCAAACTAAAGTGAATTTCAATCATAACTCATCATAAAATGTTTTGTTGTTTGTAACCGGATTAATTTGCTTTTCTCATTCTTCCTTATAATATTAGAGGAGATACAACACACATTCTTACAATTACTGTTTCACATACTTGACATCCTTCCTCATAATATTAGAGGAGATACAACACACATTCTTACAATTACTGTTTCACATACTTGACATCCTTCCTCATAATATTAGAGGAGATACAACACACATTCTTACAATTACTGTTTCACATACTTGACATCCTTCCTCATAATATTAGAGGAGATACAACACACATTCTTACAATTACTGTTTCACATACTTGACATCCTTCTGTCGATTCACAGTGAACTATACATCTAGTTATCAAAGCTTTTTTCCCCTTCTTTCTTTTTTTCTTTCTTTTAGGTTCCTGAAATTGAAGAGCGTCTGCGTGAGATACAGAATATCATTGGTTCAGAGAAAACTATTCTTAACTCAGACTAAAACTTGATGTTTTAGAAGATGATGGTTTAATTTATATAAATAGTAAATATAGTTTAATTAAAGAAGGTTTGTATTCTGTGAAAGGTTTGTATTTTGTCAACTGTAATCAGGGCCGTATTCAGGAATTTGCTCAAGGGGGGGGCATAATCTTTTTTGACATTTTAGGTGTTTGGGAACTAAATCCCTCCTTAAAATCATAGTTAGTGCTCTTCCACCTCTCGGCCTTTGCCATAAACTCCAGTTTAATAATCTCTATATCCTTGCAATCTGATGGTGTACACCTGTTATATTACAAACTTACACTTGTTTGAAATAACTAAGGTCTACGACATTGAGTTGCAGAGATATTGGGATTAGAACATCAGAGTTTGTGGCAAAGACTCAATACCTTTCCACCAAAAAATTAAAATTGTTTTAACTCTAGCCAATCAATAAAAAGGGATTTAAATTGCAGAATTGCAAAACACGATTTACAAGTAATGAAAAATTCCCCCCCCCCTTTTTTTAAGGTTATAAAATTATTATATTTTCATTGCCAGCTGTTCTCTCGAATGCATAAAGTTTTGACTAAATCTAGTTGTAAAAGTGGCAGGGTCTCCAGTATGGGCGGAGGGTAGGGGGAGAAGTAATTAATCTCTGTGGGTCTGACAGGGATAGGACGAGGAGGACATTGCCAGGAGGAGGAGTAGAATAGTACTTAGAGAAGACCAGGATTCAGGGATCTATGGATCCAGGATCCTGGAGGGGGTTAGGGGGGAGGGGGGAGATATCATAACTATATATCAGTAATGGATTAATGAATATTTTAATGTTAAAGTTAATATTCAATATATATATCAGTAAAAATCTTCAGCATGTTTTTTTAAACAAATTAAAACAAAAGTTTTAAAAAGTGATTTGGTCAATAATTTCTCATTGGACACTTGACAATGATATTTCTTTCTTGAGTTTATTAGGATGTAATGTTCCAGCAACGTTATATAATATATATGGTAAACTCCCTTTCAGGCTGAAAGGGACTGAAAAAATTCATACCGAGAGATTTTCTAAATTCCCCTCTAATATATATTCTATTCTCTATGACTGTCGACCCTCCATCAAAAAAATTACATTTTCCAAAACATTTACAATGAGGAAGTTTTTTTTTCTTGAAAAGAGCAATTTTCTTCGTTTTCACTGCTGCCTAAATTTGCAAGTCAATGTACAGAGAGACCGTGCTAAAAAATTATCCATTATCAAATATCTAAATGAAAAAATAAAACTCCATCAAAAGTGTGCAATGTCTAATAATGTTGAAAAAAGAAAAAGTCTGATTTAATGCTAAAACTCTATTTGAAAAGATTAGAATTTTATTGCCAATTTAAATCAACCATGGTTACATTAAACTAAATAGTGCTGGAAACTACTAGATGAAAACATTGTATATTCTGATTAAATTTATTTTTCAACAATACAAGTATTTTTGCGCAGATTTTAGAGATTGCAATAAGACGATTAAAACGCATGACTAGGTAAACTTCCAATTTGATCGGAGGAGTTGTGCAGAATTCAATTTTCTACAGAAAACTCGAAAATATTTGGCAACAAATGTATTATTGTCACTTCTCTGTCACTCACTATCATATACTCAGATCAGCTGATTGGCTCTACAGTGTACAATCTGTAAGCTGTTGATTTCTGTACATTAACCAGGTACCTCAGTTTTCTTGAGCCTGAAACTTGGATTCCTTGGTGTTCCAGAACCTGGACTCTGGGTATTCCAGAACCTGGAACTCATAGTATTCCAGAACCTGGAGCCAGAAATCCTCAGTTTTCTTGAGCCTGAAACCTGGATTCTTTGCTATTCCTGAACCTGGAACCAAGGAGCCCTTAGTATATCCTTAACCTGGAATCTTGGTGTTCCTGATCCTGGAACCATGGGAGAGTTCTGGGTAAATCCTAAACCTGGAACCAGGAGTCCCGGGTATAAACTAAACCTGGAGTCCTATCTAATCATATATATAGAATCCTAGGTAATTTTATACCAGGAACCTGGAACCTGAACCTGGAACCTGGAGCTCTCGTAAATCCTAAACATGGAGCCTGGAGCCTGAAGTCCTTATAATTCTTAATCTGGAACCTGGAACCTGAAGCCCTTAGAAATCCTGAACCTTGAACCTGGAACCTGGAGTTCTCGGAAATCCTAAACCTGGAACCTGGAACCTGGATTTTGGCAACGGAAACTTTTCATCTTAGTTTCTATATCGGTTCATCTACCCTCTACATTCAGTAGATCTAGGAGATTAAAGATAATGAATGGATATTTAAAGGGAACTGATATTCATTTATCTACAGTGGTAAGCGATTATATCAATACAATACAAGACTTCTTATTTCAGTTTTGATTGTTAAGAATTTTTTTTCGAATCACAAGTTTACAAGTAATCATATGAGAAGCTTTTTAAATTGACAGCTTCTCTTGACTTCTATATTTTTATGTTTCCATGCTGTTTAACAGGTTGTCATTAATCAAAATTTAAATCGAAAGTCCTGTTCAATGTATTGATATAATCGCATACCAATGTATCAGAAATTAATAATTTAAGAAAACCAGAAATTAAAATAAAATCTAGTTTTCATAATAATAATTTCTTAAATCTCTCAATTATAAATTATCATGGTGGGGAAAATAAAGTTGTATCCAACCCTTGAGATTTTTCTGTTGGGACTATAAATCACCTTCTTTCTTTTTTTCTTTCTTTTAGGTTCCTGAAATTGAAGAGCGTCTGCGTGAGATACAGAATATCATTGGTTCAGAGAAAACTATTCTTAACTCAGACTAAAACTTGATGTTTTAGAAGATGATGGTTTAATTTATATAAATAGTAAATATAGTTTAATTAAAGAAGGTAATCCTGTATCCTGTATCCTGTATCCTGTATCCTGTATCCTGTATCCAGTATCCTGTATCCTGTATCCTGTATCCTGTATCCTGTATCCTGTATCCTGTATTCTGTATCCTTATCCTGTATCCTGTATCCTGTATCCTGTATCCTGTATCCTGTATCCTGTATCCTGTATCCTGTATCCTGTATCCTGTATGTTGTTGTCCCTGGATAATTGGCACCCTCTCCTGTTTACTGGTTCTGATTCTTCATGTGGACAGAATACAACACACACTATCATTAACCAAGTTTATGTACAAAAACATGCCAGGGAACAGTAGATTGTACATAAGAATATGTATGTACAGTTGCAGAGTTTGCAGCTGATCGGTATATTAATTACTACTCAAGATTTATCTATGCAAATCCAGGGTGTAGGGAATATCATTTGTTTTGTATAGAATAAATCCTAGGCAGGGATTTATTCTATATTTCTTGAGTATTGACATGTCTGTGAGGGATTATATGTAAATATCAAGGGTCATGTCTTCATTCTCCGTCCTAGGGTGACAACATTATGTTTCACACACACGTTCGATACAATACATAAATATTTTATACAGAGTTTTAAGAAAATAATGCTAGAATTTGATTTATGGACTAGAATCAACGAGGGATGCACCCCCCTAACGATTTATGTGCACCCCCCTAAAAACCGGTATTCAGAAAAAAAAAGCTTAAAATCTATATTAATTTACCTGAAGGCTGACTATTAGTCATCTGATCATAATTACCAATCATTTTAAATGAAACCCCGCGAAAAAAATATTGTAAATAAGATAAAGGTTACAAGAAAGAATTTGAGAAATAATAATAAAATGGACAAATTGTGAAATTGTCGATTTATAAGTAAAAATCTGAACATATATGTAAGTTTAATGTTTAATAAATTAGAGCCTGCCTCTGGCTCTAGGGGGGGAGGCCTAGGTGGGTGAATGTCTAAGGGGGGGGCAGAGGGGTACCGCCCTCCCTCCACTACGCGCCTGCTTATACTCTGAAAGCGTACTGCATATTTGATGTTTGCACTGTCTGAATAGGCCAAAATCTCTTTATATCCTATTTCGGTGAGCTGTCTTCATTGTACACTCAGGCTAATACACACAGCCAGGTATCAAGTTCCAGCCCCACACATTTGTATGGCGATTCCATTAGCGCCCGGTCCAATCAGGATTCAGGTATGTGCTTGGTGTCTATTCTGAACCAATAGAAATAGTATGGCGGTAATATCTATCTTTCTATCTATCTCATTATCCAATAAGAGATATGAATCCTTTAATCGGCGCTAATAGTATATGAAAATATTTACCTCTACTGAAACTATAGTGCCCCTGACTAGGATGCAACATTATTCCAAATAAAATTCATAGATGAAAGAGATCTCGAGAGTACAATCACCCCAGACTAACCAGAGAGAGAAGCATTCGGTTTCTTCTATTTGAAATCAAATGTGTTTTGGTCTATAATTCAACCATCTTAAAATTTACAGATTTGTGTCTTTTTACTTTTTCATTCAAAACGTATATGCCGACATAAAAGTATTTAAGAAAAAAACTAACAAATTATGTTTAATGGGTCAGATTTAATGTAAAGCTTCTTTCTTGAACCAAGCCTCCAACAAAATATCTTCTCTTGGAGCCCCACTCTTGCCTTCTAAAGGCCCACTCCTGTCTATTAGATCAGAGCCTTAATCCTTTAAATCGAACACCTCTCCCTGTCTCCTGGAGTCCAACTCCCGTCTCGAGACCCCTTTCTCCCGCTGCCTCTTGGATCACCGTTCTTGTACTTTTCATCCCCCTCTTGCCTTATGGAACTCCCCCCCTCCCACCTGCCTCCTGGACCCCCCCCCCTCCACTTACCTCCTGGCGAACAGCTTTGCAAAAAGTGCTGAATCCTATTGTACAAACTTCTCAAATTAAAAGCAAAGGATTAAATATATTCTACAGAATCAAAATAGAAACATTTTCAATTTTTAATTAGACCGTTTTCAGCTGTTTTTAACCCTTTTGGGCCCCTACGTATCTATCTCAAGGACTACCTTGTACCTATGTAACTTCAAATTATCCATATTAAGAAAGTGAAAACAAGATTCACAATGTATAACATCTTTATCTAGAGAACCGCGGTGTTTGAAATATCTATGAAATAGCATTAACATGTGA